TATCAAGTGGCTCTATTTAAAACTCTTCATAACCATAGTCGATTGTGGAAGAAATTTTTTCTTTTATCAATTTTTCTTAAAATCAACATTTTCTAACTGCAGTGGTGGTGCAGTTAGGAAAACTTTTATAACTCGGCCAAAATCAAACATTTTGAGGTCGGGTTTGTTCTATCTTAAAGTAAAATCATTTTTCTGTTACATTCGTACAGAAAAAGTCCAATATTTTCTCGTCCTTTTCTGTGTCACGGCGAAAAACACAATTTTTTTTTTTTGTAAAATTTCAGTACCAGAAAAACACGTTTAAATCGAACCTCTGATAACTGAAAAGAAAGACGACACTTCGGAACACCAGAATTTACGTTCTTATTCCACTTAGACATTTGATACTATGTTCAAAATAAATTTGTTTTCCTTGTTTTTTTGAGAGTGAGCAAAATATGAAAGACTAAAATTGGAAAAATTGTTTTTTAAATTGCAGAGTAATCAAGATTGAAGTGTCACAGTATTTCTTCTATATTCTTTTATCTTTACAGTATATAACAAAATGTTTAACATATTTTTTGTAGAGAATTTCACGGCGCATCTTTTAAGAAAACAATAAAGATTATGAAGATAAAATCCAACTGAGATATGAGCAAAATACTAAGTGACTGATTTATTCTGGACCACCCGTGTAAAACAGAAGAAAATTCTCTCATGATGATCGTCTGATTGAATTCTTTCAGACTAGAAAGTCTTTACTGCATCACGAAGATGATTATGTGTTTCGTTTTAGTTCGTGCATTACGTGAAGCATTTTACAGACAAAATTTACCAAATTTAATGAATTTATTGGCCACTGTACTTGTATTCGCCATTGTTATCTACTTCCAAGTACATATTGTTTTTAAATTTTACTTTTGGAGAATAGGACTTGATCTTCACCGTACAGGAAGAAAAGCTGCAATAATTTAGATGAAACCAAAGACCTATCGGTTTTATGTTAGAAGAAGTTTAGAGGAAAACTGTAGAATTTAGTAACTGTTGTTTCGGTTTGTCGAAGAAGCTATTGGACGATTTTAGTTGGTGATTAATTTGTTTATTATATTTATTTTTAGGGTTTTCGTGTTGATCTTCCAATTAAATCTGCTCGTTATCGTGGTCAATCTAGTTCATATCCGATTAAATTATTTTATACATCGAATATTCCAATTATTTTACAAAGTGCCCTAGTATCAAATCTCTATGTTATCTCTCAAATGTTATCAACAAAATTTTCTGGTAATTTTATCATTAATTTGTTGGGTGTTTGGGCCGATTCAGGTCCTGCTCGGTCTTATCCAATTGGTGGTTTATGTTATTATTTATCACCGCCAGAAAGTTTTCAATCCATGTTAGCGGATCCAATACATGCCCTATTATACATTGTATTTATGTTAGGATCATGTGCATTTTTCTCTAAAACATGGATTGAAATTAGTGGCTCATCAGCAAAAGATGTTGCCAAACAATTGAAAGAACAACAAATGGTTATGCATGGTCATCGTGAAAAATCTATGATACATGAATTAAACCGTTATATACCAACAGCAGCCGCATTTGGTGGCTTGTGTATTGGTGCATTATCCGTTTTAGCTGATTTACTTGGAGCAATTGGATCGGGTACGGGTATATTGTTGGCCGTCACAATTATTTATCAATATTTTGAAATATTTGTTAAAGAACAAAATGAAATGGGAGGTATGGGTACACTACTCTTTTAGAGAGAGAGAGAGGGAGTCAGACAGATGATGTTATGGTTACGACGGCCACGCATATTTGCATATTCTATTCTGTTTTGTTTGCATATACTCGTAGTTGTTGTTCCTTGTTCTTGTTGTTTACTATTGTTGTTGTTTTTACTTTGTGATGATAAAAAAGCCGTTTGTTTTTTCTTGGTGTTTTTTTCTCCCTCAAAACAATGTTATCTACTACGTGTGTGTATAGAATCATTTTTCAAAATGGAGAAGAAAAAAAGCAGGCTTTTTTTAACGATTATACAACAAATATAGACGAGATGTTTTATGTTTCAACAAGTAGTTGTATTTTCGAAACGTATCAATTAAAACGAGGATACATTCTTGCTATTTATATAAATGAGAAGGACTGAAAATATTTGGGATCAGCACGAGTCTAAAAACTAAAGAATTGTAAAAAAAAATCTGTGCACTGGAGTTTTTTGAGCAAAAATAGACTTTTCTTCTTCAGTATTTTCTTACAAAATTTTTTAAATAACATTTCAGCTGTTCTCTTTCACTTATGTTAGCCATGTACGACAGCATTCTGTGTGCCGCCAGTATTATCCAGTCCAAAAACATGTTTTCTCTTCAAGCATCTAATGTATACTCTAACAGTCGTACAAAAGCAATGTCTGACTTTCGATGTCTCTAAAGAATGAGAGAGAAATTGTGTTGTATTCAGCTTATACTTGAATGTATTATTTTTTCTTCCACTGTAGGAAAAAAGAATTTTTTAACTATTGCAGAATTATCACAGTCCACACACATCCTGCCGCTCCTTATCCTAGAATATTGTCTTTACATGTACTGTAACATCAATTTTGTCCCAATAGAAGATGATCAATACCAATTGCATGTATTGAATCCACCAAAATGTTTCGGCAAGTGTTTAAATGTTGCCTTTACTTCCATTTAGCTGACTGATATATGCTCGAAAAGCAAAAGACTGAAAATATTTTCACCAGCTGTTACTTTCTTAGATGAACATTCCATCGTTACATCGACTTCTGGTACTAGCAACAAGATCACATGGCTTTCTTGTTACGATCTATCGATCTATGCAAGCGTGTCACTTAGTATTTCAGGACATCCACCTAACCCGATAACAACGAGCATAAAAAATTAGCGATATATGGTTATTTTCAACAATTTCTGATTTGATAATTAGGAAAAAATACCTGATTATCAAAGTATTATATCTCAAGAACAGCATAACGAATATAGAATCAAGAGAGACACTTTAAAATTTTCGTCATATTTTTCTGCATTCGCAACTGGTCTTAATTAGAAAAAATTTGCTATTGAACACGTGCGTGGGTAAATCGAACAGTTTTCTACACGCTAATGTAAAAAACGTATGAAAATGTTACGTACAAACCGTACAAAACAACTAGTTCAATTATGATAATTCAATAAGATTCAACTTGTCCTTTAAGTTCTATTCGAAATGCATTACAAGCATCGAAGACACACACACACACGCAATTTAACAAAGCAGGAAAATCATCAAACAGAGAATTTGGTAAAGCGATGACCGAAGAAAAAGTGTTCAAACACTTTATTGATCAAGTAGATAGAATGAGAAAATGAAATCGAGTCAGAGCTGTTACATTAGCCATAAAATCAGCTTCGCCAATAAAATCCATAAAATATCTCAAGAAAAATATAGTTAAAGAAATGTTATCGCTAAACGTCACTTATTCATGTGACACATTGAAGAACTCGAGAATGTCGGTTTCGTACTGAAAGCATCTCCGAAACCATAAACATTGCCTTTACAAACATCAAAATAGTCGTCAAAAGAAAATTCTTGTAGTGCATCACTTCGTGCTTAATCCACCGTGCAACTTAGTCAGATATTTACAGTTCTTACTAATCTATTCGAACCATCGTTTTTCTACAATAATGTAATTACCTCCACCGTCAAAATCGGCATGAAATTACCGATTAAGTCCAATCCATCAGTTGATTAATCGTGCGCTCTTTAAGCAGAATTTTTTTCTAATTAATGGAAATTTATCGACTATTCACCAAAAAATGAACATCAACAAAAAAGATTGAAATATATACCATTCAACTCATTTTTTGACGCAGACTTTAGATATGACTTTTTTATTGCATAAAAGTTGAGTTCTGATGGAGAAAATTGAGAATTAAGAACAGAATTCTGACTTTTTCGCTCCTGATTTAGAAAATATGAAATTTTCTTAACAACAAAGGAAAATACAAAAAAAAAAGTGATAGGTATTTTTAAAGCTCGTTTAATGGCGGTTCTAATGAAGTAAAAAGGTCGGCTTCATCTCTTCATAAAAATAACGTAGATATATTTGCAAAATTGTTTATGAACTTTTCACAAGGAGAGTCCAAGATTCCATACTGAATTTGACTCCAATCTCGGTCAAGTATCATTCTCGTACTCCGGTCTTAATACTGAATCTGAAAAAAGTACTTTTGAAAAATTGGGAGACCAAAAATAAAAGAATGTGAATGTTTTTGAAACTGCAGGGTTTTTCAAAGTTTTAGACTCTTCGAGTTCATTTTTTCTTACTCAGCTCGATACGCTCGATCCAACCATGCATAAATAAACGGAAGATACCGTGTATACTAAATTTGTTTTAATCGTTGATGTATATAATTAGTAATTAGCTGTAGTGTCATTATTTTTCACTAATTCGCGGATGCTATAAAGTTGTTATATCCTTAGTTGTTATTATTATTTCCAGATGATTGGTTTGTATGCAATAGTGGAGATTACTCTTGTATATGACATTAACAGAACATTTTACCAAAGTTTTCTTGTTCCAATAATCCTACTTGAATACTTACTCGAATCTTATTAAGATCTTAGTAAGCGTTTGCTTACATTTGTCCAAGATTTTTTTGAATCTACTGTTTTGCATAGTTTAAAAGTTTCAGCCGAACCAAACAGGCTTGAAGAATGAAGACAAATTTCATCGATTTACACGTCCATTCCTTGAGGTGTACACCCTTTGAAAAGTTGTTGAACACTTTCCAGAGAGGAAGTACGATCAAAGTCATGAAGAAAAATGTCCACATAAAATTCAATTAATTTCGGTGTTATTTATACAGATGTCTGGGAGCAAAATGACAGAGTGAATGAAAGTGTAGGCATAAAATCTTATTCAAATCTTAAATAGGATTTTAGATTATCTTATCACGATCTTAAAATGTAAGATAACTTTTAAGAAGCGTCTCAGATTTTTAGTTTAGATTTCACTCATTTTATAATATATAATCAAATTTATGTATTATGAAGCCAATATCAAATATTATCCTTTGAAATAGTGAGTGACTTTCATTTGATAGAGACTCTAAGATAGTTAAAACAACTTATTCTCATTTGGCAACAAAAACTACCGAATATTTTTACAAGGTTTTGAATCAGCATGTCGAAAACGATTCGATTCATTATTATGTTCAATAGCAGGTCTTCCGAACAAAAACGGTGGAGAACTTGCAAAATGATGACAAAAATTTCATAAAGCGTCTGTTCTCATTATTATATCTTTACATAATTATAAAGTAAATCAAGCGTAAGAGATGTGACAGCAAGGACGATCCTTAGTACTTCATGCTTGTGTTCCTCTGTATATGATATAAGCGTCTATTTATTCCTAACAAATTTTCTTCAATCATACAACAACTATTCTCTAAATGCTGGTAAATTTATATATAGACAAATATTTTCTACAATTTTCAAGTCAAAAATATGTTTCTAGGCTGAGTTTTGAATTACTTATTGAAGAATTTCAAAAATGACCATCAATTGTAAAATAGCTGTCTTTCCGTTAGCTTTGAGAGCTAAAACATTAAATCTAGACCATAAATAGAAGAGAGTCATGATGTTAAGACATTTTAGTATCAAGATAGACTGTTTATTTCTCGAATCATCTAGCCAGAAAAAGCTTATAGATGTTAGATGACTCCTATTTAGTAAGAGCTATAACTGTACAACATTTAAAGTTGATAGATGTTATGATTTTTTTCGTCGCAGAGAGACGATACTTTTTTATCACTATTGTAATTGAACTGTATTATAATACGATCTTCTGAACATTTTTTCACATAGATTGACACAAATTTCCTGTGGAATCAACATCCTACTTCTTTATTTCTTTTAGATGTTAGTGATTTTTTTGCAATTTCCATTTAACATACTTATATGTTTTTTGTCTTCTCCTATTTTCCAAAACGATTTTATGATAATAATTGAATATTGAATGATTTTATTATATCCTGATTCATATGTATTTTTGATTCAACAAAGATATATAGTAGTTATGGTAAGAGAAAGACGTCCAAAATAAGAAATAGAATAAAAACAGACATTTGTAAGTAAGAGACGAGAAAAAAAAAAAAGAAGCAACTATAATTAATTACAACTATACAAAAGATTAATAGACAAAGAACATACAGTGGTTTTGTTATTATTATATCTTGTCAAGCAAAATGACGAAAGAATAAACGAACACAATATTTCGTGCACAATACTAAAAGAAAACAAATTAAACAATACTATATTATAGAGATGTCTTATTTATTTATATGGGATAAGAGGAAACATATTTGTGTTTCACAATAGCACAAAAAAAAAAAAATGAGACAAAAAGTTAGACAGTGATGTTAATCAAACGAATGGAAACATATGTATCTAAATTGTATAAACATAAAAGAAAACGAAAAAAAATAAACGATCGTTTCCAGCTGTATGACTTTGGGAAAAAGAGGAAAATCCTAGTTAATTCAGACCTATGGAAGCATAAAGAATATAGTTATCTATATATAACATTGATTAGAAGAAAATAGAATAATAGATATACATATATATAACGCGTGAAAGAAAACTGTATCAGGTTTTTTTTCTTTTTTCTTTTTCACATAATTATACTGATTATTGCAACAATTTTTCTTTGTCATATTTTGTATCTTCTTACAAAATCTCATCATCTATCAAAGTGTACAGT